ATGGAAGTTCTTTTGGACCGATCCCGTCAAGTTGACATTCAAAGGTGACCCCAACCACACAGAAACAAAGACGTTTACAAGCCAGCCTGTCACAGCTCGAAAAAGAGATGTGGGCTGGAATCTACTTCATCTGAAGAACAGACTGGTGTGAGGGTAGAGGCCACAGAACAAAGGAGGTGCATTTCAGTTTCCAACTGCCTCCAACATTCCCCGCCACCTCTCCCGCCTGTCTTGCCCAGATCTATCTTCTCCCAAAGTCCAGAGAAAGTTTTCGGAGAAAGCGGAGGTTGAGGATAATTAAATGGGGACAAGGAAGAGGAGGAGAGGAAGGGGGGAAAAAGTTGGCTACTACCCAGAATCGGGGCAGAAGTTAGCCGACAGCCTAAATCTAAGCAAGCGTGACTTGAAAAGAAGCAGCGAGAGGCTATAGAAGAATTTCCAAGGCTGTGCCTTTCGGCAGGCAGCAAATTCGAAAGATTAACCTTGCGCTGTGCAATGAAGGAGTTTTGTAGAACAGTGGTTAAACTGCAATACTGCAGCCAAGACTGCTCACGATTTGAGTTTGATTCCAAGGGGCTCAAATTTTAAAGCTTGACTTCCATCCTTCCAAGGTTGGTAAATTGAGTACTCAGTGTGGGAGAGGGGGAGGCAATATGTAGCCTATATAATTAAATTGTAAACCACACACAGAGTGCTTGAAGCACAACGGGGCAGCATATAAGCGGCACGCTTTGCACTTTTTCCTTTTGGTCCGCCTCAAAATATCCCACCAGTTAGTCCACTGATTTATCCTGAGGTTCTAACTGGTTGTGCTGCTGTTGACTACTAAGGCTGAAATTGACTAACACTGAGAAGAACTGAAGAATGAAGGAAATGAGCCAGGTAAGGCTTGTAATCAGATTATTGTTGAGTCACCTTTTGAGTCTTACATGCCACCAATCACTCTGTCCACGAAACCAGAACTCACCGTGATCAAAGTCCACTTTTTCTGTGCACGTTCTTTCTGTGCTTACAGGCATTTGTTATGTTTACCATGTACCGTAATTTGGTGGACTAAAGAGCTAATGTTCGATTTGTTTCCTTTCGCTAGCCTTGCTGGTGATCAACCTTCTAGTTTAAAGATAAGGCACAAGTTGCATATTTCATGCTAGGTACATGCTGATATAAGCTGTTTGTTTTACGACTGCTATACGCTGCTTTAAAAGATTCAGGAACATATACTGTATACACTTGTGGGCATACGCGCGTGCACACACACACTCATACAGTCTTGCACCTGAGGAAGGTGGAAACCTTGGCATTTTGCTTAAACACATTTTGTTAGTCACTCTTATAAGTGCATGTTTTAATTATTAATTTCATCCCTCAAATGGGAGCCAGAAAAAAAGTTAATTAAACTACTGTTGAGTTCCCATTATCTATCTATCTATCTATCTATCTATCTATCTATCTATCTATCTATCTATCTATCTATCTATCTATCTATCTATCTATCTATCCATCCATCCATCCATCCATCCATCCATCCACCCACCCACCTAAACATATATTCATAATTACACACACATAGAAAGAAGTCCTTTCCCATTCCCTTCTTCTGGGTGTGCCCTAGGGTTATGCAGCCTGCCCAAGGCCACACAGGCTGGTTCTTCCTGGGTGAAAAGTAAGGAACTCAACTCTTGACCTTTCGCTCTGCAGCCAGATACCTATTCACTGGCATCCCAGAAGAGCCAGCCCGGGTGGCCTTGGGCAAGCTGCACAATCCCAGGGGACCTCACTCCAAAGAAGAAGGGAAAAGTGAATCACTTCTGAATATTCTCTACCTAGAAAACCCTGGAAAACTCCCTCATTCCAACCTTCTTTTAGTCTTTTCACCTCTCCCTTGCATTAAGTCAGAACTGACTTGACAACACTTGATGATGATATGTATATGTACACACACACTACATATACAGTACATATATATGTGTGTGTGTGTGTATATATGTGTGTGTACACACACACTACACATACAGTACACAAACGTATATGTGTGTGTGTGTGTGTGTGTGCCAACCTTCTTTTAGTCTTTTCACCTCTCCCTTGCATTAAGTCAGAACTGACTTGACAACACTTGATGATGATATGTATATGTACACACACACTACATATACAGTACATATATATGTGTGTGTGTGTGTATATATGTGTGTGTACACACACACTACACATACAGTACACAAACGTATATGTGTGTGTGTGTGTGTGTGTGTTGTGTGGGCTGTATTTGAATAAAATAAAATAAAAATAAAACAGTCCCTAATGCAGTTTTTTTTGGGGGGGGAGCAAAATTTAACATAAGACCCTGTCTTATTTTTGGGGAAACATGGTGTGTGTGTGTATGTATATAGTAATTGTATATACAAACATATAGTGTGTGTGTATACACACAAACACGTATACACGCACTTGTACATACAGTATACACACATATACATACTGTGTGCGTGTATACTGTGTGCGTATACTGTATATATGTGTGTGTGCATATATACTGTACATACGTAAATACACATATACATATATACACACACAGTATACAGCATATGTGTGTGCATGTTTATATGTATGTGTAAAAGAGTGTGTACGTAAATATGCACGCACCCCGACCTGTTCTCGGCCCCGAGGGGACCCAAAAACTCGCATTTCCCCCCCTCCCCAGACCCTCGCCCCATACATTTCCCGCAGGGACCGAAAAGAGACCGAAACCCCCCTCTCTTCCCGGCCTTCTCGTCCTCCCCAACCTCCCCTCTCGCTCTCTCCGGTCACCTCAACAAAGAAGCCGCCATCTTGTTCGCGCGCGTCGCTCCGCCTCTCCAAAGCGGAAATGGGCGCGGGGAGAAAAAAACCACCCCTAGAGCGGCCTGCTGACGTCACTGCCCTACTTCCGTCGCCAGGGAAGGGCGGAAGGAGGCGTCCTATTTCAAGCCGTGGAGTAATAAAATAGCCAGTCTTTTTGTTTTTCATCACTCTCTCTTTCCCTTGCATGAGACTCTCTCAAATATCTGGAGAAGGATCCTTGAGAACGAGAAAAAACTGGCCTGTTTTAAATCAGTACATGGTTTAAATAATAATAATAGTAAGAATTTAAATAATAATCAATAATATTGATAAGTGATCAGTAAATAAAGGCATTGCTCAACCTTGCCTGTGGATTTCCTGCAACGATTCCCATGTTTTTCTGTTTTCTCTCTCACACAAACACCCGGTTGTCACACTCTGTGTGTGTTGGAGGAAGTGAATACAGTGGTGCCCCGCATAGCGACGATAATCCGTTCCGGAAAAATTGTCGCTATACGGATTCGTCGCTATGCGGGGAAAAAGCCCATAGGAATGCATTAAATGCAAAAAACTCCCCGTTATGCGAAAATCCTCCACACGGCTGCCATTTTCGCTGCCCGGTAAGCGAGGAATGGGTGCGAAAACACAGCGGCTGGGCATTTTGGAACCGCCGATCAGCTGTTCTAAAAACTTCACTATGTGAAATTCGGTAAGCGAAACAGCTTGCCGATCATCGCAAAGCAATGTTTTACCATTAAAAACATTGCAATGCGATTGCTTTTGCGATGGCAAAAATTGTCGCTATGCAGATTTGTCGTTAAAGCGCTCGTTAAGTGAGGCACCACTGTAATCCTTAAATGCTCACACCCAAGTAAATCTGTTGGGCCTTTGAAGTGTATTTTTGCTTTTATTTTTTGTTTCACCTGCTGAAAAAAGGAACTACCTCGGTTACCTAAAAAAAACTGAGTGTTCTTTTTCTATGAAGGAAATTCCCGTTGGTTTCCAGCAAGGTATACACACCTGGGATTTCTAGTTTCTTGATCTGGCCTCTTAGGTGTTTGGGATCAATTCCTTCTTGAACTCCCATGGACCATACACAGTGAGGGCTGGCTTGTAGCCACTTCCAGTACCTTCTGATTCTGCTTTCTTGATTCCTCTGCTCATGTATAGAACACCTTTAGCTTCCGTTCCCTTGCGCTGGGTATTCCTCAGCATGATATGAGCCCTTCGGTGTTGTGCCATTTATTTAGCTCAAAATCCTTAACAATTTTTAGCTAAACCCAAAGGTTACAAAAAGGGATGCAAGCTTTCACAATGCATAGGTCTCTTCATCAAGTAGGTTAGTTAGTATCCTAAATATCAAATTTGCTATTTCACTTTTTAACTATCAGGTGTAGGCATCCTTCAGTTTTGAGAGACTATGGTAACGTGCTCTGAATAGAGGTCTTGGAACAGCATCTAGTGTGCCTGAGAAGGCCAATTTGAAAGTGACCATCCCTTCCACACGGAAGACAAATACAATCTGTCCCCTGTCCAGCTCCCTGATTTTGCTGGTTTTGGGATGGCCTCTTTGCCTCGGCCTGCTGGACAAGGGTCTCTTCAAATTGGGAGAGGCCGTGATGGAGAGGTCCATTCCTAAGGCCTTCAGATCCCGCTTGCAGATGTCCTTCTATTGCAACTGTGGTCTCCCTCTGGGGCGATTTCCCTGCACTAATTCTCCATAGAGGAGACCTTTTGGCATCTGACCATCAGCCATTCTCACGATATGCCCAAACCAAGGTAGACGTCGCTGTTTCGGTAATGTATACATGCTAAAAATTCCAACTCGTTCTAGGACTGCTCTGTTTGGAACTTTGTCCTGCCAGGTGTCCTGCCAACTGTCAACAGTTGGCTAAATAGCTCGGTTGGGAGTTTGATTTCCTCCTGGGAGAAAAGCCAGCCTGGGTGGCCTTGGGCAAGCTGCACTGTCCTACGGCGACCCTAGAGGAAGGGAAAGGTAACACTGTGTATTCTCTACCCCGGGAAACCCTGGAAAGGGTTGCCCTAGGTCAGAATTGACTTGACAGGACATGATGATGATTATTTATCCATTGATAGTAGGGTTTCAGCTCTCTTGCAGGAGTGCGATATCATTATTCTTTAAGCCTGCCTCGTTGACACTGCCCTTTCCTTTCCATGTCCTACACTGGGTTCAGCCGCTGCTGTGGGAGCACAAGACATCTCTATAAGCCACCCACTTTTCACTGTTCGGCTCAGCTAGAAAACAAAAGCGCTCTTTGTCAGCCCAAATGCGATCACGCCAGCCTTATGGAATGCTGTGTTGGCAAGCCGAGGCAGGATGGGAGGCAGATCCTGTGGACAGTGTGGTCCCCGAGCAAAGTTTGAAGGGATCTGAAAACTTGGGGCTCCGTCACTGGTCCTCCTTGCCTATTCTCCTTCTGAAAAGAAAAATCCGAAAGCCAAAATAAGTCTCGTGGGTGTATTTGTGGTTATGGGCCGTCAAATCAAATCAACTTAGAGCCATCCTACTTTCAGAAAAAGTGAGATATTTCAGGTGCCACATCCACCTCAACACTAAATGCCACATTCCCTGGAAAAGACAATAATGAGAGCTGAGCAAGGATTTGAACCCAGGTCTTCAGAATACTTTAAAAATAGGAGACAGGTAGCTCTCCGGATGTTCTGGACTCCAATTGCTGTCAGTTCCAGCTGAGATGGCCAATGACCGGGGACCATGGAAGTCGGAATCTGGCAGCACATGGAAGTTGATCAATCCAGTCATAGGGGCACAGCGATCTTTACACACCCGGAAAAGGACCTTCATCCCTTCACATAATGCAAGTCGTACCTGTGACAAACCCAGACCTACTGGGTTTCACATAATGCAAGTCGTACCTCGCTTTAAAATGGTGCCCAACACACACTATTTTAAAGGATAGTAAGGCTTCCAGTTAAAGAAGCTGACAGAGAGGTTTGTGGATACCTTGGATGACCATAAAGACAAAAAAAACTGGGTCCTCAATCAAAAGTTGAAGCTGAGGCTGTCGTACTTTGGGCCCATCATGAGAAGGCAGGATTCCCTGGAAAAGACAATAATGCTGGGAGAAGGTGAAGGCAGCAGGAAAAGAGGAAGACTAAATACAAGATGGATCAACTCCCTAAAGGACGCCACACTGCGGTGAAACGATCTCAAACATCCAAACGAGTGGTGTTAATTAGTACGACGACACAAGTACACCAGCTGAGACCACAGACGAACTTTCGCAAAGCTCTCTAAATTATTATATTCTTGTCTTCTGCATATATTGGGGCAGAATCTGATCCCATCTTGCACGCATGCAAGAATCCTTCGCACGAGAGGGGTGGGCCAGTTTCCAAGCTCGTGCGAGGTTATTACAACAAGAGGTCTCCATGGGGAAGCCCAGAAACCTTTCATCTACTTTATTCCAATTGAGGAATAAAGATGCTCGGAGGTACCCCTAAAGATGAGTGCCCTTGAGCAACTGAGAAAAACTTTGACCATCCATGAATGGATTATGTCTTTATGAGATAGCAGCCCCGATAAGAATTCATCATCGAGAGGAGCATGAGATACAGGCTTTTGAACGCGTCTTTTATGCTCGGTCCTCTCTTTATGGGGCAGAGTGAATTCCTTCCAGAGGCCATGACCACCACCCACACCCCCAGCCAAGAATGTGGCTTGACAAAGGCGACCGTTTGCTCAACTATGCCACTGGCACATGTTTACCAACGGCCGGGCATAAATGTCCCCTTTTCACTTTTGTTTCGGGGGGTCCATTCCGTCTCCAAAGTTCCCCCACGGAACTGAATGCCAGCCTCTCATTGGTTCCCGTTTTTTGCAGCGACGGCATCCTTCGGAGCCCAGCCGGGTTCTTAAACCCAGGGTGCCCACCCTCGCCGCCATTCTTCGGGAGAGAATCCCTCGTCCCCCCCCCGGCGTGGCCAACTCCCTTTCCCTCCATGTGGCGAGGAACTGTACAGTAACTTAGAAAAACAAACACACAAACCATGGGGTCCTTAGGCAACCTGGAAAGGGAGAAAGCCCTCCTGCTCACCGTGCTGGTCTCAACAATGGGTAAGTCATCCTCTCCGTTTTTCAGATGGGACCTGGGTGGTCATCTAGACCAACCCTGGTCTAGATGGGGCTGTGATAGCCATGGGACAGGCACCCCCCCAGCTGCTATTTAAATACTCTCCAGTAATGGGACCCCATCACCTTAAAGTTCTCTGAACATTTCTCCCGACGTTCCTGGCATGCAGCCTTCCGAGATAGACTCTCTCTGGACATGGAGTTTTCATCGGTAGGTATTGTCATTGGTGGCCAGGAATAGCTCTGTTCTCCTTAAATGTTCATCAACGGGTTTTGTCATAGAGACATAATTGGTGTTTACCTCTGCCGTATGGTGTTCCGGTTCTTTTACACGAGATCCATCTAGCCATCCCCGGTCCTGATCTTCAGCACCTTGATTAGACCTACTCTGTGACGGGTTTTGTCATAGAGACATAATTGCTGCCGTATGGTGTTCCAGTTCCTTTACATAAGATCCATCTAGCCATCCCCGGTCCTGATCTTCAGCACCTTGATTAGACCTACTCTGTACAGGATGCGTCTCATGATTGTTGGTAGTAGACATCTAAACCAGGCTGAGGGTGGTATCATCTCTGGAGATATTTTGCAGGCGACTTATGCATTTTATAAACTAGCACTTCCTTTCCTCCGGCACCGATCCATCTGGGGGCATAAACCACCCAGAGAGTGCTCTAGTACGATGGGGCGTCATACGTTTTGCAGGCGACTTATGCATTGTATAAAGTAGCACTTCCTTTCCTCCGGCATGGATCCATTTGGGGGCATAATTATACTGTAAACCACCCAGAGAGTGCTCTAGTACGATGGGGCATCATATAAGTGAAAACAACAAGAAAAACTTCATATTGGAGCATTAAGGTTTATGTTAATGACTTCCTGGTGTCTAACTAATCACACCTTTTGATCTTGAGTGTCTGTCCGGGTCTTTGAAATTCCAGGAGAGCATCGATATTGGGTATGATTCTTAACTGTTTATAGTTCAAAGCCTGAACTTTTTTTTATAAAAAAAACAATCTTCAAGAAGTTATTTGTTTGGACTACAACGCCCATCGTCCTCTAGGCGTGTTGGAAGCAGCAGTCCAAACTCCCCAGATTTTCCAAGGCCTCTCTCTGATGCAACTTTAAAAATATTTAAAAGATGGGTGGCCCAATTTGAAAAAGCTTAAAAAGACATTCCCTCTCACCCAGATGCGGGAAAAGAATTGTAAGATAGAAATGTGCCAGGAGGACTACGTGGACTGATATTCACATGAATACATCAAGATCTGTTTCAGAAAACTTCTGTTTGTGACGTGCCAGTTGCTAAGTGTGCAGAAATGCTGTGTAACTCAGTGACTTATCTGACTGGGTAGCCAGGAGGTTGGGAGTTTGAATCCTCACAGGGCCCCTTTTGACAGGGACTGGACTCTGATCTATAGGGTCCCTTCCAACTCTGCCCTTCTGAGAGGATGATGACGATCTATTATCGATTAGGTAGGAGAGGAGATGGGGACTGAGACGAAGGTCTACGGATGAGGCCAAAGTCCCAGGGACTTCCTGAAGGCGGATACTGTGTTATGAAGCCTAATATTGTTATTATGCTTCCCGCGTTGTCTCTATTGACATTTTGAAATATACAGAGGGAGAGAAGTCGTGGCGGGGGTAAGAAATTTAATCAATACAAACAAATAGGAAGAGTACACAGAGGTAATGAAGCAGAAATCCAGGGACCTGAGGTAAAGGGAATAAATTACCCAGATAATGACTCTTTTTTTTGGTAAATAAACCTATTGCAATTCCAGAGGTAACTTAAATTGCTTCCACCACAGTGGAGAAACATGTGGGAGAGAAATTTCATAACGCCCTGGGATTTTCTCTCAATTCCCTTTTGAGAAATGGATATTTAGTGTGGCGGGATCACGATGCAAGATGTTGTGAAAGAGTTGTTATTTTTTCTGCCCTTAAGCTGCTCTTGAGCCTGACAAGTAAAATTTACGTGTGTGATCATAAAGTCCTGCACTTTTGTTTATTTAGTCCAGGGAGGCTCATTTTTTCTTTCTTTCTTTCTTTCTTTCTTTCTTTCTTTCTTTCTTTCTTTCTTTCTTTCTTTCTTTCTTTCTTTCTTTCTTTCTTTCTTTCTTTCTTTCTTTCTTTCCTGAGCAAGTCTTTGTAGGAAGGCAAAAACAAATCCCAAAGCTATAGACTCAGCATCCCACAGCTTTTCTCAACCAGAGATTCTCCATGTATATGTATTACTCTTGATCCCATCATCCCCATCAACCTAGACATTCTCATGCCATCTGTGAGGTGGATGGCAGGTTGCTGGAAAGCTGTTCTGGGACGATTTACAGCCCTTTTGTTTATTAAAACAGAATATCCCATTGGGTTCAGTGGAGACGCCCGGTCTGAATCAGAGAGACAGACGGACCGGTGCTAAAAACAACCTGGGATCCCCAGTGCGGTTTAGTGGATAGTCTGATGGACGAGGACTCAGGAGGCCTGGATTCCAATCACCTCTTAGTCACGGGAACTCACTGGGTGTGTCAAACTGGCAAAACCATTCCTTAAACATCCCACTTATAGTGGTGCCTCGCTAGAAAGTTACCCCGCATGACTTTTTTTCGCTAGACATTGACTTTTTGCGATTGCTATAGCGATTCGCAAAACAGTGATTCCTATGGGGGAATTTCACTGGACAATGTTTGGTCCCTGCTTCGCAAACCAATTTTCGCTAGACGACGATTTTGACAGCTTCCTCCGCGCTCGCAAAACAGGTGTTTTCGGGACCTAAGCTTCGCAAGACAGCTATTTAAACAGCTGATCGGTGGTTCGCAAAGCGGCTTTCCTATGGCCGATCTTCGCTAGACAACGACAATTCTTCCCCATTGGAACGCATTAAACAGGTTTCAATGCATTCCAATGGGGAAATGCTTTTCGCTAGACGATGATTTCGCTAAACAGCGATTTCAGTGGAACGGATTATCATCGTCTAGCGAGGCACCACTGTACTTTCAAAACCTGGCTGGAGTAATCCCATCATCCCCATCAACCTGACGAGGGATACTAGACATTCTCATGCTGTTGGTGAGGTGGATGGCAGGTTGCTGGAAAGCTGTTCTGGGACGATTTACAGCCCTTTTGTTTATTAAAACAGAATATCCCATTGGGTTCAGTGGAGACGCCCGGTCTGAATCAGAGAGACAGACGGACCGGTGCTAAAAACAACCTGGGATCCCCAGTGCGGTTTAGTGGATAGTCTGATGGACGAGGACTCAGGAGGCCTGGATTCCAATCACCTCTTAGTCACGGGAACTCACTGGGTGTGTCAAACTGGCAAAACCATTCCTTAAACATCCCACTTATAGTGGTGCCTCGCTAGAAAGTTACCCCGCATGACTTTTTTTCGCTAGACATTGACTTTTTGCGATTGCTATAGCGATTCGCAAAACAGTGATTCCTATGGGGGAATTTCACTGGACAATGTTTGGTCCCTGCTTCGCAAACCAATTTTCGCTAGACGACGATTTTGACAGCTTCCTCCGCGCTCGCAAAACAGGTGTTTTCGGGACCTAAGCTTCGCAAGACAGCTATTTAAACAGCTGATCGGTGGTTCGCAAAGCGGCTTTCCTATGGCCGATCTTCGCTAGACAACGACAATTCTTCCCCATTGGAACGCATTAAACAGGTTTCAATGCATTCCAATGGGGAAATGCTTTTCGCTAGACGATGATTTCGCTAAACAGCGATTTCAGTGGAACGGATTATCATCGTCTAGCGAGGCACCACTGTACTTTCAAAACCTGGCTGGAGTTGCTACAAGTGAGTTCTGATTTGAAGGCACCTAACAACAAAAATAAGAAAAAGGGAAGGTGGCAGATCTCCGAGCAGTTATTCGTTTGGACTGCAATTCCCAGAATCCTCCAGGCACACGGGGAATCCTGAAAGCTACAGTCCAGAAATACTGGATTTCTCTAGGTGTGCCTCGGACACAATCCGTTCTATCGGCATCGGACTCAAATCAGAAAACCTAGTGCTGAGACCGGTCTCTACAAGCGAGCACAGAAAACGGTCTTAGATCTGATTGTGTGTTCCTCTAGCGCTATAATGTTTGCCCTGATTGATAGCAACTCCCCGGGCTTGACAGCAGAGATGGGGCTGTCTGGGAACCCCAATCTTTTTGACAGGAGGTACCAGGGACAAAAAAAAAGGCCATCAACGGCAGGTTTATTCAGAAGGACGAAGTACGCCATCCCTTACTTTCAAGGAACTGTAGCGGTGAGATCACATCCTTAAAAGGTTGAATTAAATGTTAACATTCCTGCCATCAACAAGTTTGATTCCTAGTGTGATGTTTTAAGGACAGCATGCCACATGCAGGATAGTTTTCCTCTCTTCCCTACTTACCTGCAAGATGATATCTTCAAGGGGAACCCATAAAGATCTCCCTCTGGCCTCCGTTTGAGAGGTTAAAATAATTCAAACTCACTCTGTGGATTGGGCCAGAAATGAACATTATCTTGGTTGAAGCTAAGAATTGGCTGGGTGCGTTCGATCCACCCCGCCAAGGGTTTTTGGGTGGATTTGGGGCATGTAGCATTTCCAGCATGCCGTCAAGTCAGTTCCGACCTACAGCAACCTTTTTCTGGGTTTTGTACATAGAGAATACTTGGAAACGGTTTAAAACTCAAAATAAATTACTATATGGAGCCCAGGGCCACCAGTCAGCAATGATTCTGAACCCAGGACTTCATTCTGCACCAGAATATTAGAACATATTTTCTCTCTTCACAGAAATTTAGACCCAGCTACCCCAAACCTGATTTGTTTCAGCAATATAATTTAGGGTGTGTATGGATGTGCATAACATAGCAATCAGAAATCAGCGTTGATCTACTCCAAACCAAACAGAGACCTTCCATTATAGGCAGAGCTCTCTTGCTTCCTTTTAGCCCAGACCGGAAGCTGTAGCCTAAGTCTGAACTAGCCGATGTTACGCTTTCAAGGGC